ACACGGAACCGTAGATGCCAAGCGTCCGTTCATCTGGGTGGCTGGCGAGGTGCCCCGGAGGCCAGTCGGTGAGCTCATCAAGCATGCATCAGTAGTAACGCCCCTTGTCGGCAACACCCAGGACGGTCCCAAGGCCGACGTTCTCAGATTTCACAAAGAGCAGTGGTGCTTTCCAATCACAGTCCCAGTGCTTGGTAAGTGGATCCGAAAATGTAATTCCCAGGCGCAAGTCTGAACAGCTGTGTGAAAACAGCTGTGGACTCCCAAGTGTGAACGTGAGCGTTATTCTAATCTGGGTGCGTCTTTGGTCCCACAAGAGGGAGGACAGTGGCCCCACTCGCCTAGACCACCCTGCGCCCCAGGGAGCACTTCTGGTTTGGGACCAGGGGGGTCACCAGCCCTGGACCGGGGCGGCCTGCCCCAGGTGAGAACGGCACCTGCCTGCGGGAGTGACCGCACGGAGGAGGAGCCATCACAGGGGACACTTTCCTTTCCTCCCGTGTCTGGGGTTGCAATAGCATCCCTATCACTTGTGGAACTGACACGAAGGGATTAATCTGTGTTTTGAACCGTAAGGACACGTGACAGGTGTACCGGGATGATCGACCGCTCGCTCCGAACGCCGTCCTCTGGGTTGGCATGAGCACACTCGCGGGCCCCAGGACATTAAGTAACAAAATCGGGAGCAGGGGCTCTGGGTTCGGATCCCGGTCCTCCAACCTCCCGCCTGCGCGGCCTTGGGCACCCCACCCCGCCTCTCCTCCGCAGCGTCTTCACCTATAAAACGTTGATAATAACGGTGTCCGCCTCAACAGGCAGCGTGGAAGGAAGGATCACATACCGCATGCCAAGATTTTACCGAAACGCCCAGACCTTTGAACAATATTTATCTGGTGTCTTTTGGAAGCAAAGGGCCGTGGCCATGCTCCAAGTTCAGCGAGAAGGGGGATGTGCCCTGTCTTGAGTCAAAGAAGCTATAGACGTTGTTACGTACGCTAGAAAATAAGGAACTGGGGGGTATCAACAGAGTTAACATTCACGGATGTCAGGGGCTTACGCACACTATCTCCCTCAGCTTTCACAACAGTGTGACAACAGCACACGGCTCAGGACAGACACTGCCAGACTACAAGGGACGTCCACCTAGCTCAAAAGGTAGAAAGGGCAGGGGGGGGGAAAGTGAGAGAGAGCGAGCCAGAAAGGAGGAGGAGAGAGAGGGCGAGAAAGAGAGGGGGAGGGAGAGACAGAGGGAGAGAGGAAGAGGGAGAAAGGGAGGGGAGGTTTGGAATGAGGGGGGAAGGGCGGAGGAGGGAGGGAAAGAGAAGGAGGGGGAGGTTTGCAGGGAGAAGGAGGAAGGGAGGGAGAGACACGGCGGGGCAGGGGGTGGGGGGGGATGAGGTGTTGGCTTCCACAACTGGAACAGCTGCAAGCCCCCAACCTCAGCGCCTGTGAGGGGCCCCCCTCTTCCTTGTGCACCCCAGCTGTATTCTCCCCTCTCCCTCCTGTTTGCTGGCCTCCTTCCCTCCTTCTTCAGCTGGGCTTTCTCTGTGAGCCAGGGAACGGGGTTCTGGAAGCCCAGGGCCGAGTGCGCCCCAGCAGCCCCCGTGGGAGGCGGGGCCCCCGGGTCCGGTCTCCAGGAAGTGCACAGGGGGGGGACCTGAGTTATATGCCCACCAGGGGCCCCACCACCGCACAGGGTGCCCCCGACCAGCCCCAGACAAAGAACAAAAGAGAGGACAAGTAAACAAAAGAAGAGGTATTAATTGCCACTGAAGCCAAAGACACATAACCAGCAGTGGTGACGCCTCCAGGCCCCGTGTTGCGACAGGGGAGGGTTAGGTCTTAGCCCCAGCAGGGCCCCGGAGGAGAGAAGTCTTAGGAAGTGAAAGCGTTCATCAGTGGAAGAAAGAACTCTATACAAATTGGAGTTCCCCAAAACTGGAACAGGGTTCTAGAGCTTCTCAGATTCTGGCAAGTGCTGGATGCACTTCTGCCTGTGTGTGAACCGGCCCCACACAGACACAGGGGGGAGGGTGTCCCCAGAGAGCCCGGGCCAGCCCAGGGGAGCCCTTTGAAGGCAGAGCCGGGGCGGTGTGGGGCTCCCCCCCACAGGCACACTGGCATCTCCCCGGACCCTGCGGGGCTGGCTGCCCCCAAGGTCACGGACAGAGTGATGCTTTCCGGAAACTGCATGTGCTGTCTTCAAACCCAGCTTCCCCCCACTGATACGAAAAGGGAAACAATTTTAAATATAAAAGCACATGTTCAACGTGAAGTTTTAGCGGGCACAAGGAAGCTGATGTGTTCTCTGCGGTGTAACGGCCACTTTTTCTGAGAGGTCTTTTTTGGGGGATTTTTTGACAAGTTTTTAGGTTCTGGGATCCCGACTTCAATTTCCAGGCATCTGCGGCTAAACCAGGTCCAATGTTATCCACACTGCGTGAGGCAGATCTGAGCAGAGACGCCCCCAGCCTCAGGCCTCCCTCCGACTCACACAGCGAGCAGAAGGGGTGTCCTGGAGAAGCCAGCCCCCCCCACCACCCCAGACCTCACCGTCTCTCCTGCCACAGCTGGAGACCACCCGCCTGTGGTCCTCGCCCTCTCCTCCGATGGCCACCAAGCTCCCCACCAGGTCCCTGACCCTCAGGACAGGTCAAGCCACACTCACGATTACATTTTTAATTTTTACCACGGCCACAGAAAGGACTTAATTTGGAATGTAGGAAGAACTTTCCAGCTACAGGAGTTCTGCATCTCTAAGAAAGATAGCTAAGGGTTTCCTTCTGTCGGTATGGGCTGGACGTCCGGCGATCCCTGGTTACTCAAAAGCTCTTTAACATAAGCAGGGGAAATTTTCGTCTCTTTCTCTCATGTAGTCTTTCTGTATTAGAATCAAAGAAAATCAGATTGGAAAGGGAGCTTCAAATGCAGGAGGTCAGTCTTCCTGCTTCAAACCCCAAGCGTTAGGATCCTATTGTCATTGGTGCAGTTGAACACGAAGGGGACTCTCTCTGAGTGACCGTGGGGTCCTGCACTGGACACTGAGACAGAAGAGCATCCGTGGAGAAGCCGGGGACGTCTGAACAAAGGCCGTAGAGTAGTTCACAGAGCTGTGACCACGACAACGTTCGGGGATCACGGCCCCGCGGTTATAAGGGGCTAATGTCAGAGAAAGCCGGGACAAGGAGGCACGGCCATGGTCCAAACCATCTTTGCAACTTTTCCATAAATAACATTATTCCAAAAGGAAAAGTTTATTATAAATGAAGTACAGATGGGCACCTGGCTGGCTCAGCCAGTGGAGCATGTGACTCTTGATCTCTGGGTTGTGAGTTCGAGCCCCACGTTGGATGCAGAGATTACTTAAAAATAAAATCTTGGGGCGCCTGGGTGGCTTAGTCGGTTAGGCATCCAACTCTTGGTTTTGGCTCACGTCACGATCTCACGATTTGTGAGTCTGAGCCCCACATCAGGCTTTGTGCTAACAGTGCAGAGCCTCCTTGGGATTCTCTCTCTCCCTCTCTCGCTCTCTGCCCCTCCCCTGCTCACACGCACTGGGCGCGTGCACGCTCTCTCTCGGAATAAATACGTAAACGTTTAAAATGAATAAATGAATAAATAAATAAAATCTTTAAAATAAGTAAAGGACAGATTTCCATTTATTTCTGTATTTCTGAGTCAAATTTGTTTTGTGTACTGAGTAATAATGCATTTTTAATCCCTTCGTGTGTACTCAAATCCGGATCCCCATTCGAGATGCCCAAAGATGAAACAAATCAACAAACCTCCTTCTCATTGCCATCCGTGAGAGAAAATGGACAATTTCAAAACCGTTAAAACCTTAATATAATTTTGAGAACTTAAAGTGAGCACCACACATTGAAACTAAGGGTTTGGATGTTTGAACCGAATACTGCTATGTAAGCACGTAACGTTTTTGAATAGACTCATCCTTTTACAAAGTTCATGTAGTAGCATTCCTTCCAGTGAGAGAAAAATAGAACTGTTTGCCCTTTATGGTTTTTGTTTCCTTCCTCTCATTATTCTATAGAAAAGAGGAAGAGTGGGCAAGCTTATGACAAATAGCTCTTATTTAACCTGAGATTTAATTTTTTTTAACGTTTATTCACCTTTGAGAGACAGAGAGAGACAGAGCATGAGCGGGGAGGGGGCAGAGAGAGGGGGAGACACAGAATCCGAAGCGGGGTCCAGGTTCTGAGCTGTCAGCACAGAGCCCCACGCGGGGCTCGAACTCACGGAACGCGAGATCATGACCTGAGCCAAAGTCGGACGCTCAACTGACCGAGCCACCCAGGTGCCCCTAACCTGAGATTTAATATAAGCCCAGACCTAATCGCTGGCTGCCCGGAGGAGGTGTGGATGGCAGAAGGCAGCAGGCGTCTGACTGCAGGCAGCCTCAGTGGGCCCTGAGGGTCTGGAGACCCGTATTTCTTTTCCCTAAGACCTGGGTAGCTCAGCTCCCCATAGCTGCTCAGTCCTATGACTCCACCGTGCTTTCCAACTTCCGATTACATCGTTTCTATCATTTTCCTTAATGAGGAAGGCTGCACTCTCGTCCTGCTCTGACTTGGCAAGGAATTCAGGTAGAGGACGATGCACGATGCTGGCACTCTTACTTGGTAAGCTCCTTGAATAATGTAGACTTTCTACGACACAGACCGGCACACTTTTTCTGCATGGAAACAGATGTAAAACTGGGAGGTTTGGGGGGCCATGTAGAATTTCTGGAGCACGGCCTACTTTGTTCAGTGTGTGTGTGTGTGTGTGTGTGTGTGTGTGTGTGTGTTTAACAACCCTTTGAAAATGTAAAAACAGGGCACCTGGGTGGCTCAGTCAGTTGAGCGTCCGACTTCGGCTCAGGTCATGACCTCACGGTTCGTGGGTTCGAGCCCCGCATCCGGCTCTGTGCTGACAGCTCGGAGCCTGGAGCCTGCTTCGGATTCTGTCTCCCTCTCTTTCTGCCCCTCCCCTGCTCGCGTTCTCTTTGTCTCTCTCTCAAAAATAAATAAACTTCAAAAAATGTATAAACTGATAATAATAAAAATGTAAAAGCCATTCTTGCCACGAGAGGTTGGGTAAGGGAGGCCACCGGCCAGATCTGACCTGCACCTGTCCTTTGCCAATCCCGGATGCCGTTGACAGTGTCTTTAAATGTCTCAGAGGGAAAAAAAAAAAAAAATAATAAGCAAAAGCTCCTGTTAAAAACCTTTCCCTGAGATGACAAAACATTTCTAGATGTGGGGGCCACCTCACGGGGCCGGGCTTGTTCTGACCCAGGCCTCTGAGTTCCGGGGCGGGGAGGCGGCGGGTTTGCGGGGTCGGTACAGACAGCCGGAGGCTCACACAGCCTCTGGTCAAGGCCCAGAGGGAGCCGAGTGCCCTCCGGGCTTTGGGGCTGGAGGACCCACCACCTCCTATCTCAGCTGCTGCTATGAGTCTGAAGGTGCCCATCTGATGATGGCTCCCCTGAGCCCAATGGCCGGCCGGCCACCTCCTCGTCTCCCTGCCTTTCTCACCACCCCCCCTGTGGCCCCCTCCACTCCCGCAGCTGCACACCCAGGAACGGCCTTGGAGCTGTCATCGCCGCTTGTCCGCTGAGACCCACCTGGAGAGCAGAGATGCCGAGGCCGGTGGACAGCAGGGGACCGTCCAGTCCGATGGAAACGTGGCTCTTCTCCCTGATCTCTGATGCTGAGGTGTTCTCGTCTTCAGCCCCCCATGCAGCTGTGACAAGTAGGGAGAGTGCAGAATGAGGGACGCCTTTGGGATGTCCCAAACCACACCCTCCCGGTCACCAGGGCTGATGCCCGGGCAGCTCCCAGGAGCAGGGCGGGAACACAGGACACAGGTGCACCCTCTGTGTCCTGCTGCCCCAAGCTGCCTATCCTCCAGGGGCGATCCCGCCTAAATCCTCAAGGGTCCAAGCACGCTGTAAAACGTACCTTCTCTAATACAGAAGGTCAGAGCAGAGAACGTGTTTATATGTTGCCCCGCAAGCCGCGGTCCTCGTAACAGCGGGCAAGGTAAACAGGATCGGTTCCGTGTGGTCGGTGCATCTGTTTCGTTTCACAGAAATGTCGCTCCGATGTACGGTTCCTATCAAGGGGTCTCTAGAATGTCAAACACCGAAAGGAGGAAAGCGAGTGAAATCCGTTACTCAAACGACAACACCCACTGGCCACTGACATAAACACATCCTACGTCACAAATTACGGTTTAACACACTTCTAATACGTACGCGTGCCCAGCAGGGTCTACACGAAGACGCAGAGTGTAGAGCGGTCTGTCCTCATTGTTCAGCCACACGCCCTCCTGTAGGACACCGGAAACATCAGAAAAACGCAACACTCGAAGCAGATCTCCATTAGAGAATGGCAGGGTGTCCACACCGGCCCCACTTCTCTGCTCGACAGCCGTGAACTGGAGGACAACGTCCCTCCCTCACCCTCCTTCGTGTCCTCCACGCCGAACCGGAGAACCTGAGACCTGAGAATCCACGAAGGAAACAGGACAGAAAGGCCAGAAATAGACCCCAGTGTTAATGCAGTGTGATGCTCGATCAACAAGGTATCTTTTTCTCTGTCTGACTTACTTCACTCAACATGACGCCCCCGAGGTCCATCCATGCCATCGCAAATGGCAAGGTTCCATTATTTTTTATGGCGGAGTAATATTCCTTTCTCTATACTATCTTGGCCATAGTAAAGCATGCTGCAATAAACAGGGGGTGCACCTATCTTTTCGAGATGGTGTTTTCGTGAGCTTTGGATAGATACCCAGAAGCAGAATTGCAGGATCATAGGGTAGTTCTCTTTTTCATTTTTTGAGGAACCTCTCCAGTGTTTTCCACAGTGGCTGCACCAGTTTGCATTCCCACCAGCAGTGCACGAGGGTTCCCCTTTCTCCACCTCCTCGCCGACATTTGTCGTTTCCTGAGTTGTTAATTTTAGCCATTCTGACAGGTGTGAGGTGGTATCTCACTGTGGTTCGATTGACATTTCCCTGGTGGCGAGTGATGTTGAGCATCTCTCCGTGTGTCTGTTGGCCATCTGCATAAATGAAAAGCACGAAAAGTTTTCATTCGTAACTGAGTTTCAGTGTAGCGACCTCAACCCCAGGTGAGATCTGAAAATACACACCCGTCAAGTTTTCAAACATTATCAATCAATAGGCTAGACGCACGAGCAAGCAGGGAACGCCCATTCGTGGAGCTGAAACATATTTTGAACTAGAAAATGTCATTTCTGTTGTTTGTTTCTAGGCATATTATTTTCTATTTTCTATTTTCATTAAAATAGATTATGATTCCCAGAGCAGTAATATTTATTTTTTTTTTTATTTTTTTTTTCAACGTTTATTTATTTTTGGGACAGAGAGAGACAGAGCATGAACGGGGGAGGGGCAGAGAGAGAGGGAGACACAGAATCGGAAACAGGCTCCAGGCTCCGAGCCATCAGCCCAGAGCCCGACGCGGGGCTCGAACTCACGGGCCGCGAGATCGTGACCTGGCTGAAGTCGGACGCTTAACCGACTGCGCCACCCAGGCGCCCCGAGCAGTAATATTTAATAGGATTACATGCCAACACACTTAATGCTTTGCATTGGAAGACTATCCTAAAATAATGTCATATTGCTCGAGTTAGCTGCTTTATACTTAACTAAATTGACTTGCAATTGAGTTCCAATTAAGTAATTATATTTTTAAAGGGTAACCTTTTAGGCAAATACATTGTCACCTGTTGAGATATTTGATCTTTTTAATTTTTTTTATTATTTTTAAAGTGTTTACTTAGTTTTGAGAGAGAGAGAGAGAGAGAGAGAGAGAGAGAGAAGGAGCAGGGAGGGGCAGAGAAAGAGGGAGACACAGAATCCGAAGCAGGCTCCAGGCTCTGAGCTGTCAGCACAGAGCCCGACGCGGGGCTCGAACTCACAGACCTCGAATTCATGACCTGAGCCAGTCAGTGGCTTAACCGACTGAGCCATCCAGGAGCCCCAAGATACTGATCCTCTTTAATCTCCAGTGCTTAGCATCATGCCTGGCAATAAGAGGCACACAGTAATTGTTTGTTGATTTGAATGTCACTAAAAATAAGAAGTCAGAGGTGCCCAGAGAAGCCACACATATGCCCGGGAAAGCCTCGGAACGATGCCTGTGCTTTCTCGCCCCCACCGGTGTTATCACCACTGTGTATAAATCCACGCAATCCAAGTTCAAGTGCTATCCTTAGTCCTTAAGTTACTTTTCTCTTTTTTTTTAATTATCGTATTATTTATTTATTTATTTCATTATTATGTTGTTGTTGTTGTTCGAAACCTCACTGACAACAGAATAAAGGAGGAAGCCCGCCATTTGCAGGTCAAAGGTCACTTTCCCATCCCAGTTGAATTGGTGGAGGAAATCCAGCAGAAGGAGGCTTTTTCTCCATGTTCCGTGGTATTCTCGCTGATAGAGGTGACCAGTGGGGGGCATCCCTGAGATTCAGCAGCGCTGGTCTGTCAAAATTAGCTTGCTTCAAAGGACAAATAGGGTTGAGTTATTCCCTTTGAAAAAGGCATCCCTACCCTTTAAAACAGTTAAAATGGTGAATTTCGCGTTTTGTGACTTTTATTCCAAGTCAAAATAGTTTGTATCAAAATGCACTAAATGCTGTCCTACCTCTGGAGTTTACTCCTTCCTGTGCCAATAAAATTTTACCATGTCAATAGGTGCAGTTGAAGTCTTTTTGTTTGCAAGCTAAAGCATCCTGATAGATGGATCACGTGTAACTTGTGTTTTTTAACTTGAAAGAGATGAAAAATGTGAAGCCTGCGTTCTAAATATTAAAACGTACGGTGTATATTCTACACATTCAATACATCTACCTAAAGTTGAAAAATGTGTGTCATTAGGGGCGCCCCGGGGGGGGGGGGGGCTCAGTCAGTTAAGCGTCTGACTTCAGCTCAGGTCATGATCTCACGGTTTGTGGGTTCGAGCCCCGCGTCGGGCCCTGTGCGGACAGCTCAGAGCCTGGAGCCTGCTTCCGATTCTGTGTCTCCCTCTCTCTCTCCCCCTCCCTAGCTCACGCTCGCTAGCTCTCTGTGTCAAAAATAAGTAAACTTAAAAAAAAAAAAATGTGTGTGTCATTAAATTCCGGATAAAGGTGGTGAAATCTTCAGGGCCCCACTATCTAGAAAAAGGAAAAAGAAACTTCCCTCTCCCTCTCACGTCTCTCCAAGAAAAAGAGGGAGCGGCGGAAAACAAAAATGTAAAAGTTACTAACAGCAACCAAACAAGAAAAGGAGAACCCCTCAGCGAAATGAACTTGGAAAAGTGCTAGCTCATAAGAAAAACAGAAGTTGGAGAGGATCACGGTGAGGTCAGGCCGCCAGCTCCCAGAAACCGCATCTGGTGAGTCTACAAAGTCCTGGCAGTTCTCGCTCAGATCTTGAGAGGACAAAAGGGAGTAACTGCGTGTTTCTTAGTGTTGACCATGGGGCGGTGAAAATGGCTGAGGTGGGGATGAGGGGTCACAGGGAACCATCAGCATCCGGGCATGGCTACGTGTCACCAGCGGGAAGCCTCGGGGCCCATGCTGATTGGGGAACGGAGCTGACACCCAATGGCGCTCCAAGGAGTGGGGAAGCTCTTCCCTTTCCCTCTGCCGGGGAGGAGCGGGGGGCCTCCTGCCTCCGACCCGGGGTCCTGCGGGACAGAGGAGCCCAGCCGGTGCCCCTGACCTTCAGCTAAGCCCACCCCCTGCACCGTGCTCAAAGACGATAGCAAATTAGGCATAAAAGGAATATGAGGCCGAGGAGAAAGGACCTGCTGTAGGAATCCAGGAGCTGTCACCCGCAGAAGAGCAGAGCGAAACAGAAGTTCCGGAGAAACAGTGCCAAATTAGCGCAAGGTGACAGCACTGAAGCAGTCACCCTGCTAAAGACCATAGAGAATTGGAATAAGAAGAAAAAGGGTGAAGGACAAAGGATCAGAATGGCTTGGATTTCTCGACATAAGACTGAAAGAAAGCAAGAAAGCGATAGAACGATGACTTCAAAATTGTAAACAAAAGTTATTTCCAAACCAGAATTCTTTACAGTTCAAACCATCAAACTTGAGGGTAGAAACTTTGTGGCTACGGAAGTTCTTTAAAACACCTACTTCCGGAGCGCCTGGGGGGCTCGGTCAGTTAAGCATCCGACTTCGGCTCAGGTCATGATCTCGTGGTCCGTGAGTTCGAGCCACATGTCTGGCTCTGTGCTGATGGCTTGGAGCCTGGAACCTGCCTCAGATTGTGTCCCCCTCTCTCTCTCTGCACCTCCCCCACTCATACTCTGTCTCTCTCTCTCTCTCTCTCTCAAAATTAAATTAAATTAAATTAAATTAAATTAAATTAAATTAAATTAAATTAAATTTAAAAAAGTAAAATCAAATAAAATCCCTGCTTCCAAGGGCACCTGGGTGGTTTAGTTGGTTGACTGCCCAATTCTTGATTTCCGCTCGGGTCACGATCTCACAGTTTGGGATAGAGCCCGGAGTCAGGCTCCACACTGACACTATAGAGTCTGCTTGGGACCCTCTCTCTTCTCTCTCTGTCCCTCCCCCACTCTCCCTCCCTCCTTCTCAAAAGAAATAAATAAACACTTAAAAATCTTTCAGAATGGGGCACCTGGGTGGCGCAGTCGGTTAAGCGTCCGACTTCAGCCAGGTCACGATCTCGCGGTCCGGGAGTTCGAGCCCCGCGTCGGGCTCTGGGCTGATGGCTCAGAGCCTGGAGCCTGCTTCAGATTCTGTGTCTCCCTCTCTTTCTGCCCCTCCCCCACTCACACTGTCTCCTCTCTCTCTCTCTCTCTCTCTCTCTCACGTTCTGAAAAATAAATAAATGTTACAAAAATTAAAAAAATAATAAAGACAGTAAGTGGTTCACAGAGAATGCAGCCAAGTGCACTAGGAAGCCTGGTCATGAGCAAGACCAGGTGGAAACATACAAGACGAACAGCTATGGAGACCTCAGATGTCCATTAATACAGCAACACCAGAAAAGGAACACATTTGCTATTCTTAAAAAAAGAAAGAAAGAAAGAATCTGCAGGGGACAGGAGCCTTTAAACAGTGACTGTGTGGGGAATCCCCGAGACCAACATGGTGAAAAGTTTCACTGGGAGGGCCTCCTGGACCCGGAATATAGTCACAGCTAAGATTTACTACCGTGAAGGGTTAACAGCCAAGCGAGCAAAGGGAGAAGACACTGGGGAAGAGAGAAGAAAGTTCTGGTAGAAATGTGTTGACTTTTATTTATTTAGTCATTTTTAAAGACTTTAAAGATTTTATACATATATAAAGATTTTATACATATTTTTTAGTGTTTATTTTTGAGAGAGAGAGAGAGAGAACGCTAGCGGGGGAGGGACAGAGAGAAAGGGAGACACAGAATCCGAAGCAGGCTCCAGGCTCCGAGCTGTCAGCACAGAGCCTGACGTGGGGCTCGAACTTACCAACTGTGAGATCGGGCCCTGATCCGAAGTCTGAGGCTTAACCAAATGAGCAAGCCCCTAAAGATTCTATTTTTAAATTGTCTTTTAGATAGGTTTTTTTTTCCCTGGAGATTTGTGTGATGATTTTAACATTTTTTTCCAACATCCCTAGAAGCACGCTAAGTAACTTTAAAATGACTCAAAGTTGCAGACGACCACAGCAATGCCAAAGGGAGGCGTGTGGGGACAGACCTAGAACCTCATCTCCACTAACGGCCCCTGAGGACACAGAATCTTAGGAAGCTCGGTGTTTGCTCTCACATACAGATTCAAAGCTGGTCCTCATTGTCCACGTCCAACAACAGCCT